CGAATAACAAGCGAGGACCATCGACTCGGATCATCGGCTCTGAGGAAGACGAAGACGTCGAAACGTTAGCCGAAAATAAACGTCATTATCAACCTCGTGTAAGCTCATCAAAGAAATAATACATATAAAAGAGAGTTTTAAACCGATGCTTCGTTCTCTGAAGCATGGTTTTGAACAACAGTGTTTCTATTGTCATAAACACTATCTCCATATAGATTCCGTCTGTATGAGGAAGTGCAGTAGCATCGGCATAGATCAGCGGTTGAAGCCGTCGTACATGCTATCTACGTACGAGAAACCAATCTGAGAGTACGAAACCTCCGTAAACAGAAATATGATCGAAGCCGTAGCGAAGCAAAAGTATGTGCGACTTAACGAGTCGTCAACCATATGCGACTCTGAGCGGCTGTTCTTGGCGGAAGATAGGTGGGATAAACGGCTCTGAAGAAGGTGATTCTGCAGAAACATCAGCTACGGTTGTGTTGTTTGTGTGTTATTGTATGGAAGCAAACGTATGCTGTTTAGCAACCTCGCGATTGCTGAGAAAGAAAACGACGAGTTTATAAACGAGGCCTTTTCTTTAAATCATGTAGAACGTCAATAAAAAGTCTTTTGAGTGAAAACATCGACACATCAATATTTTAATGTTTGTAGGACTGCTCTGCTCCACTCTACTGGATTATTCTCGGTGCGATGGCAAGAAAGATGAGAAGCGTTAGCCATACTAAAGATTTATGACAACCTCATATTAAATCATCAATAAACCAAAATACGTGTCATCCATACCAAGGTTCAATAAAGTCGCAAGTGAATGTAATCATATATCAATTAGGATTGCGAATTCTTTCGTGATAAATGCGTTAAATGTATTATAGTATACACGTGCGTATGTATTTAGCACAGTGGTAGTGATGTCGCGAACTTGGTGCGAGTTCGATTCCACTCCGGGCCAACCAAGCCTCTCATTCTTGTAGGGTCGGGAAATTGGTACCGGATTTGTCCAAGAAAAAATCACTGTCTGTAATCCAAATGGAAATGCGTCAGCCCGGCTATCTGTTTTTATAGTCTGTAGAAATGCCGGAAATCAATTTTGCAGTACTGCGATTTTCGGTGGATTTTGAGGTATTGCTTGCGTGTTTCGATCCATTAAGTCTAAACGCTGCTGATTCTGATACGCCGAGATCCGATTTATTATATTCTAAACAATTCAGACCTTAATGGATCCTAGAACTGTTTTTATAGCAGGAGAACTTTAAGGAGAATTGCTCGACCAGCATTCTACGACATCCAAGATGAAATGAAAATCCTTAAACATTAGCTGAAACCACAAGTGAAGCCTCAGCAGCAATGCGTTCGAAGACGTCGTTCACAAACGAGTTCATGATCGACATCGCCTTCGACGAGACTCCTGTGTCGGGATGAACCTGCTTGAGAACACGGTAGGTGTACACGGAATAACTTCCTTCGTACGATGCCTTTTCTTTTTGTCTCCAGCACGACCTGCTTTCTGGCTTTTAGCAGCCTTCTTCGCTCCTTTAGCTAACGACTTTGCTGGCATGACGAATCAAGTGTTCACTGTGGAGTTAGTTGATGAGAGACTACCCGATGTCTTTCCTTCTTATTGCAGCGCAATCAGCGTGTCCCCGCCTCCACAGTTGTGGTTTGGCCCCGCCTATGAATGGGCGGTAGCAACGCACAACGTCCTCATTAAGAGAGTGAGGTGAACCTACATCGCCATCCGTCAGTGCTTATCCCGTAGCGTCGTCATAATGTCTGGTCGTGGAAAAGGAGGCAAAGCGAACACTGGAGGCAAATCGAAGTCCCGATCGGCGCGTGCCGGACTGCAATTCCCCGTCGGTCGCCTCCATCGTATGCTTCGCAAAGGCAACTATGCTGGTCGTATCGGAGGTGGAGCGCCAGTTTATCCGGCCGCCGTACTCGAGTACCTCGCCGCCGAGGTGCTAGAATTGGCTGGCAATGCCGCTCGTGACAACAAGAAGACTCGCATCAACCCTCGCCACCTACAACTCGCTGTGCGCAACGATGAGGAGTTGAACAAACTGCTCTCAAGTGTGACGATCGCTCAAGGAGGAGTTCTTCCCAACATCCAAGCCGTCCTTCTGCCCAAAAAGACTGGTGGAGAAAAGGAATAAGTCCTACACGCCGTGAGGCATTAATACTAACCCAACGACCCTCTTTAGGGCCACAGTCGCTACCGAGTGCATAGCTTGAGATGAGTTTATGAAATAAATATTGGATTCTATTATTTCTTTTTGTGTGGTTGATGCTAAAATAACTGTGAGGTTAATGAAGTACGATTTCGATTTTAACCGCAATCTTCGATGACGTCGGTCTATTTCTTGGTTTCCTCTGTCGGCTCCTCGCTTACAGGCATACGTTTCGAGTGGTTTCGGAAACTGTTGATCAATGTCTTTATAGTAGGGAATAAAATGTGTCTAGATTATTTGTGAGCACTTTCAAGGATTGTTTACGTTTGTGATCTCACTCAGACATAACTACCGTAATCTGTAGTGGGACTGGGCAGTTTTCGCAGATTCTAGTGTTCATTTACGGGAATAAATGAAAGAGGACAGTGAATCAATCGATTGAATGGTGGTTTCCTGGTAACGAGCGCTTAAGAAAGTGATTCACATCGCCAAACACCTCTCGAAAAAATTTTCGCCTGTAACGATTCAATTCATTTACGATAAGCCATTCCTGACTTGATCTCTTTATTCTCATCGCAGTGCCCACATGATCGTTTCATCTTCAATCAAGGAAAAAGCTACAAATCAAAATCAAGAACGTCTAGTAAATGATCAAGAAGAAAATCAGATAGAGTGAACCATTGCGGTGTTTACCGGATTACCAAGAGGCTTTTCCATTACGGGAAAAGTAGGCTGAGGCCTTCTTAATGTACGCTTCAAACGAGTGAAATACGTAGCTCTAGTGCACACACTAGCCCAACGGCTCTGTCTAGGGTCACGTTTGAGGCCAAATAGTGAACGTTGAAGTGCCTATTATTAATAAATAAAGTACACTCTTGTGTCGATGGTCGATGTACTTCAATCATACCTATTAAATATTTCCATAATATTAACAGCTTATCAATGTGATTACACGCGATTTACAGGATATAACCGTGCAAACTCCCCTTGAGGAGGACCCTTAATGCATTGTTCACCAACACAACCGCATTCAAATAACATTTTATAACTGCCACGACCGACTTTCTATTAACCTCGGCATTGATCAAGTGATTTTCTTCGTATTTTTGTTGAGCAAACGCGA